TTCATTTCACATGACTTACAAAATGGGATTTTTTTGTTTGTTTTTTTGTCTTAGAAACTTGAAATGAACCTCACATTAAAATGCAATGAAGTTGTTTGGAACAAGAACTGTCTCTGCCTGTTCTGCGTAAAGTGCAAACAAGCTTCAAACTCCTTCTGCTCCAGTTCGTTTGAGCCCAGCTGATTCTGTTTAATCATTGCTGATTGTGGATTTGGTTTCTTTCTGAGCCCGCTATAAAATGCCTTTTAATCATTTGTGATCAACACCGTAGAGAGTTGTAGTTCTCTCCTGGCTTCTCTACGTCCTGTCCTTCATGCGACACACATTTGGCCGGGGTTAGGAGCGCAACGGGATAATCACAGATTTGGAATGTGTCCTCACCCACTCTCATTTTGCCTCTCTCTTTTTTTGGTCTCTCTTTTCTACTCTTTCCTGTGTCTCTAGGAAACCAGAAAAAGGCATTCAGTATCTGATAGAGCGAAACTTTGTTCCAGACACTCCGGTGGGTGTGGCCCACTTCCTGCTCCAGAGGAAAGGCTTGAGTAGGCAGATGATTGGCGAGTTCCTGGGTAATCGGCAGAAACAGTTCAACCGGGATGTCCTCGAGTGAGTCTGCAGCAGATCATGCCGGTGTACTCTTTTGGAATATTTGTATTTGAGGATGAATCATTTCAGGCTTTTGATTTAAGTTCACAGTGCGCAGAATGTTCGTTTATTTGCCTCCTGGGAACATAAATGTAAATCATCATTTAGTTGCAAATAAGGCAGTTTGTAATTTACCCTCATTCACACTGTCTAAGGACTATATAATGACTCAAGTTACATGCAGGAAATAAGCAGAAATGGAATCCACTCAGGAAATTGCCATGATGCTCAGATAAACATACAGATCCTCTTTATAGTTCCCAGGTTTTTTGATATGAGAGAGCAGTCGTATAGATTGTCTACTCTCCACTCCTTTGTATCATTCAAATAGTGCCTCGTGCTTTAGATTGCACAGACTTATCTTAGACCCACTTGAAATACACCAGCTCTGTCAGAGCCTATTGAGATTCATTGGAGGATAAGGCCAGAAAAGGTCCGCTGGTGTCAGTTTGACAGGCATAACTAAAGGGCTCCTTGAGAAAATGTCTATAAATCCAGACATGCAAGGTATCACTGCTCCGGAGTGCTGAGTCACAATCCTCTTTTCAGCAAAGGAAGAACTGAACATTTCCTTTACTTAAGTAAGTGTCAAGTGAGCAGAAAAACTCTTGCTCTCTTTCATGTCCTGCATATAATCTGAAAAATCAACAGCAGATCAGCTTACTCACTGACAACAGCCAAGTTTGTAGTCATCTTTAATCTTAAACTGTTCTTCACCTATGTGGCCAAAAAAAACCCCAACAACTTCTAAAATATTCTCAGTTGAACTGGCAGGTGCTTGTTACACTCCCAAACTTCCTGCTCACTGTGAACTCGTGTGTTTTTCACCAGCTGCGTAGTGGATGAAATGGACTTCTCAGCTATGGAGCTGGATGAAGCGCTCAGGAAATTCCAGGCACACATCAGAGTCCAAGGGGAAGCACAGAAGGTCGAGCGACTGATAGAGGCCTTCAGGTAAGGCATGCTTTTAAAAGTTGTATGCAAAAACATGGCTTTAGTTCCTAAACCAATGTAGGTAGCTTAAATCTAAACCACTTCATGTGCCTTTCTGTAGAAAGGAGGTGTAAAATGATGTTTTTGCAAATAGGGTCATATATCAATTTAGACTAACTGATTATGTGACAGGTTGGTCATTATGGGGTTCATTGCCGTGTCTAGTATTTACCACCAACATAGCGTGTATGATTAATGGATAGGACAAACCAGCTTTGCTCCATTTCAACAACACCATTATCCTCTAAAACAAAGGTGACACCAAAAAGTCTAAATGTAACGGTCGCGAGCAGAAAGCAATAGAGCGGTGCAAAGCCATTTCAAATCCAGACTTTTGTTCGACCAAGGCATTGTAGAAAATGATTTAGAGAAAATTAGTTCAAAGAGTGAAGGAATACCTCCCTCAGGGCTGCTGATAGATGTTGTTTGTGCCTCATTTACTTTTTCAAAACTTCCAGCAGAAAAGGTGCCCTCGTGTGCATGGAGAATTCGCTTTGTTCAGCAGTGAGCAAGGACATTTCGGCCTCAGTAAACAGCACAGTTACGGGGGAGATAGTGATGACGGATCATCTGGTGCTCACCTGCAGCCATATCCAGATATGAGTACAAGCTCCCTTTGTGGTGGTTCAGAAATTGCCCGTGTAATACCTGGAG